ATAATATTGGTAAGAAGCACAGAAATATTTAAAAAGATCTGTGGTAAGAAATAAGATTAAAGATTAGTAAGACTTTGGTCTTGAAGAAATTAGCACTAACCGATTACGGAATTAATCATTGTCACTTGGATACTTGATGAGACGATAGAATAGATAGATAGATAAAATTATAAATCAATATTAAGAATTTAAATTTTTTGCACTGTAATACCTATTTAGATACCTCGCTTTATCTTTAGTGCCTAAGTACTTATTAGGTAGTAAATTATTTATAAGATAATCAGTTATCAAGGTCGATTAGAAAATACTTAGTAATATTTCGTCATATTATTAAATAAATCCTTCTTAGAGTGTTTTAGGTTAATTGTGGATGAATTTGAAGCTTCACTAAACCTGTGGTATGCCAGAACGCGTTTTTGTGTTTCTATTGTGTCTCATATACCAGCACTCAATAATATGTTCAACTAAATAAATTAATCAAGCTCTCGATTGCTTAGGTTTCTTAAAAAAATCTTGCCTATATAAGTTATGTTTTTTTTTTGGAAACTAGACAATAATTACTTGTTATAATTATAAAGGCTTACATTATACCACGAACTCCATTGGTAGTTATACCGTTCGGGGCCCGTGGGAAATTCATCGGATGGACCCCCGTTCCCATAAACAAAACAGAGAAGTTTAGATGAAAACCTCTGAAACGTCTTCCAGCTGGGGGCCCATGGTATTTTGCCGATTCACTACCCTGGAGTTACGCTATTGGTAGTTGCTCCTTTCACTCCCAATTAGGGTTGCCACCCGTCCTTTATAATAAAGCATTGTACGTTATTTAAGGTAATTGTACTCTATACTTTTTGTGTGATCCACAGATTAATAAAATACTTTATTTTTTCAAACTTCATTTCTATTAAAGTCGTACCTAAGTATTTTTCGGTAAACTTATAGATTCGATATCGATATTTATCTATTTATGTTGAATTGATTTCGCCACTGGCCAGCGCCACTTCGACAATTTCTGGTAAAGATGCAAGCAATAAAAATATATTTTTAAATATAATACTAAATAAGAATAAATTGTACTTTATTCTTGTACTATGTACTTTTTTCTTACCTATAATCGTCAATGTACTTTAAATACCAAAAAAGGTGGCAACCCAACTCCCAATCCACTCATGCGTCTAGTCATAATACCTACATATAGCTGCGTCAATAATGGAACACATTTTAAAATAACGTTACGCGCCAGACTTTGGACTCGCCTGAAAAGCCAGACTAGCAAATAAACCAATCGTTATCACATTATTAAATAATAGCCTAAAAGTCATTTTTTGTCGTTATTTTTGTTATGCAAATTGGAGCCGCGTGTCAACAGACATGATAGATCATGTTGACAGTCTCAATTCTCTGCGGACTTTGGTCAGGTCAAGAGCACTTGTGTAAACAGTACCTATAATAGAATAGAATATCGTTTGTTGTATTGTACCCCACAAACCTATCAAACGTTGAGTATGGTCAACATTGAACTGTGTCGGAGCTCGAGCACATACGAGATTCGGTTCGATATTTGGGTAAAATGCGAAATTGTCTTTAGTCGTGTTATTAATTATCTGGAGTTTTGAATACTACCAAAGGCATGTTTGCTGTCAAGCTGATAAGTGTGGGCAAGCCATGCTTCGGCACGAATGGGCCGACTCGACCGGAGTGATACCACGGCCTCACAGAAAACCGACGTGAAGCAACGCTTGTGTTTCGTCGTGTGAGTGAGGTTACCGGAGGCCCAATTACCCTCCCCTTCCCCAATCTCCCCAATCCCTGAATCCCCAACGATCCTCCAACTCCTAATCCCCAAAAGGCCGGTAACGCACTTGTAACGCTTCTGGTGTTCCAGGTGTCCATGGTCGACGCTGATTGCTTACCAACAGGTGATCCGTCTGCTCGTTTACCGGCTTATGCCATAAAAAAAGCGCTACTCCAAAGCATTAAAAAAATGCAATTTTGTACTATGAAAGAAACACAATAGGAGCGTTTGTCTTGAGAACACAATTAAAAATGTATCAGACAATCAGTAAGTATTTAATTACTGTACTCTTAGTGCAATCGAGGAGCAATCAACTAGTATAACGAGTTTTAATTTCCAGAACACGTGAGAAAATTCTACACAATTTTCTAGACTATGTCTATAAATATTCCACGGAGCAACTGAATCATCTGTGGGGCCAATTAATGGTGTCTTATCAATCATTTTGTTTACCTATGTTACACACTCTAGACGACTAATTGCCACGCAGACTTACACGGTACTCTAAACTCACAGGTCTGATAACGTGACGAGGTGATAGCATTGAGATGATCTGGTTGGTAACTCGTGTATTGATACTGTTATTTAGATATTATTAAGGTCGGAAGTATTTTATTTTTTTATAAGGCCAGGGTCAGATGTATTTTTATAAAAATTGTAGACAAATAACACACATGGTATGGCATAAATAAAACATGAATAACGAATTGTTGTTTTTTTTTCAATAATTCTTTTTTTATATGCCAACATCTAAATACATCAAGCTCTGTCTCCTTAGGCGTAGAGGCAGTAACCTTCTCGTTACATTTTGGTACAATAGTGGTCACAGAACAGAAGGCTTAACCCGTCGAGCGTCTGCGTTCCTTATGATCCAACGGGTGCACACGTGACATTTGGAGAAAGAAAGAAAGAAAATGCATTTATTTGGCCATTGGCCCACGTTAAACAAGGATCATTACAATAGAAATAAAAAATACAGTCAAAATAAAAACAAAACATTAATAATAGATTTTATAAAAGGGTGCTCATAAGGACGCTCGAAGGGTTAATAAAAATTACAGTAACATTATTAGTAAAGATAGATAAAGGAATAATAAAGGAATAGAAATAAAGTTCGTGTCTGCCATTCCAAATAGAGGTTACCGAATAACAACACACTGAATGGCTGCGTGTGGATACTAGAGAAAGTGTCAAAAATATGTTGCAAAAATACAATGAACAACGTTTGATTGAGGAGAATGGAATAAGCGAACCATTGGGGAGAATATAAGAAGCTAATAGAGGATAACGCGAGGACGATAATGACGATGATGAAAGAATGAAAGTAAAAGCCATAGGTATATTAAATCGATCCTCAATAATAGGGATTTTTTTTTTAAGGGGGAAAAATCATCGCATGACTGCTCCCGCCTGGGTAAGGTGGGAGGGAGTGTCAGACTCTTACTGACTAAAAACCACCCCGTTCCTTCTCCTGCACGTCGAGCCGGAGCCCCGGTAACCTGTTAGGTTCTCGGCGACACAATAATAGGGATAATAGCACGATAATGAAGAAGAAATTTAATATTTAGTAGTAAGATAATAATTTGACATTATCGACTACTTAAATCGATTCACATTGGTATTTTAGTTATAAAATCGACTTTGATAGAATATCAATGTTACTACTACCCAAGTTAAGTAAGTTAAAATGATAATTTGGGGTTTTTTAAGGTGGGGAAATTCAGCAGGCATTCGATATGCCTGCTCCCGCCTGAGTGTGGCGGGAGGGAGTGTCAGACTCTCACTGACTAAAAACCATCCCGTTCCTTCTCCTGCACGTCGAGCCGGAGCCCCGGTAACCCGTTAGGTTCTCCGCGACAATTTGGAGTTTAAACTGACTTTTTCATCGTACCAAAGTCATAGTTTTTAATTCTACGATTGCTTGTTCAATGAAAAAGTCGTATGTCATGATTGTTTACGTCAGCTCAGGCTCAGTAATAATTGGTTGCCGGTTCATTGTGCTATGCAATCAGAGCCAGTGGAGTGTATTGTTTAACAGATTACGTATTGTTTCATACTTTGATCCACGCTGCGTATGACATAAGCGGTATTTTGCGCTGTATTTAGCAAATTGGATGTGTTATAAAACAATTAAGAGGTTTTAAATGTAATGCTTTTATTAACGAAATGCATTATACCTAATTGAATGAGTATGTTATAGTATACAATACTCATTAATTATTTTTTTGTTCAATTTGTGTGTGGAACTATACACAGTGTTTGGGACTATCAGATCAGTACTCGTGGTGTCAGAGCTCGGAAGTTTTTTTTTATTGCATAAGCCGGTAAACGAGCAGACGGATCACCTGATGATAAGCAATCGGCGTCGCCCATGAACACCTGGAACACCAGAGGCGTTACAAGTACGTTACCGGCCTTTTGGGGATTAGGAGTTTGAGGATCGTTGGGAATTCAGGAATTGGGGAGATTGGTAAAGAGGAGGGTAATTGTGCCGCCGGTAACCTCACTGACACGCGAAACACGAGGCAAGCGTTGCTTCACATCGGTTTTCAGTGAGGTCGTGGTATCACTCCGGTCGAGCCGGCCCATTCGTGCCGAAGCATGGCTCTCCCACACTTAAAGTTCAATAATCAAGTCATCAATGCCATTGTAATCCTCATGTATATACTTAGGGTTGACATACCTACGTATTATGACGTTATGGCATTGCCAATAGTCAGCAAAATTATTACCTCTAAAATGTAAGGTTATGCTGGTTCTTATGTCTCCTAATCATACACTTAATCTGATCGCTATGTTAATGACCTTCGCAACAGTATAATTGTTATTGTACCTTGATGAAAATCTTCATGTAGGTACGTTACTGTCCCACGTCAATTGGCTTATCTAGCACGTTGATAAAATTTAAGCTTAGTACATACATTCATGTTGGCTTATCACAAATACAACGGACTTTGATCTTTTTCAAGGAAATACTGCAACATTATGTCATTCTGCTCTAGGCTTTTATTTGTCATTGGCAAAAACATCTAATTGTCTGTCAACAATTCACGGTTATCCTCAAATCGATCTTAGTGCTATAGAATTACAGTTGAAATTACAATAACCGCAAAGATTTGTAAGGAAATGTCTAAGACGCGTTTAACAATGTGTCGTATTTGTTGGGAAATAAAGTATATTATATTTTCGTGTTATTTCTTTACAGGAAAGCGCCGAAACTAAGAAGACCTACACTTACGCTCAGGTGGAAAAGAATACGTCAGTCTTCGCAACTTCATTGATAAAGAAGTTCGGTTTGAAGCCGGGAGATGTCGTGGCTGTTATGTTGCCAAATTGTCCCGAATTCCCCGTGGTGGCGTTCGGGAGCTTCCAAGCGGGATGCGTGTTAACAACTGTCAACCCTATTTATAAAGAGTGTGAGTATATTTTTGTTAGTTCGTTTATTTTAGAGGGGTCACCGAACCAGAGCCGACATTTTGATTATGCTCAGTCAGTATTATTATTTATTTCCTAGACAGCAAAAGCAAGATAACCGTCCATTGATTTGTAAATTGTAGGTACACGAAAATAATAAATTGAATGCGTCATCAAAATAGAACATAAAAATGTTTTTGTAAATAAAATACAAATTGGTGTAGCTAGAAACTGAAGAAATAATAGAACGGTACGATAGATAAAATTACATTAAACAAATAAAATAAATAAACCAACAATCTCAACATGATTGCCGAAACTCGACGACAAATAATAAAATATTAAAATACAGCAATACTATGTAAAGTACATTTATACTTTTATAAAGGAAGTAATATAATTATGTGCAAGGCAAAGGGCGATAGTTAAGCAATTTTAGGACTTCTTAGGCCAATTACGGCCATTCAAAAATTGCCATAGCGGACGGTATTTCACGTCCACACGGCGGGGTATTGGTAAAGTTTTCAACTAGCAATAATCGCACCTCGGATTAACCTCATTGGTTACGATATTGCCTCTGCGCAAAGTTAACTCACTCAAAATTCCGGGCGGACCCAACCAAACTGATGTAACGAAACCATAGCGCGATCTATCTCGATCCCAACGCCATCTATCGAGCTATCGTGTAGTTTTTTCCGCGCGCCGGAGCTACCCATATTTATTAAATGTTAATAATAATTAATTACACATTGACATTGTGTTGAAAAGAAATATCGCATGTTTTAGAGGTCATATTTATGAAAAATATATTTATTTTACAGCTATTGTTGAAGATCAATGTAGACATGTATAATAATTTAAAAATTTTAGAGTGGCCTTAGTGCCGTGATCTCATCGCACTGATGTGCGAATATTTATTCTTTGACGCTAATATAATCTCAAGGCTTGATATTAAAGATAAATGTGAGGATAACAACACGGAAATGTTAAGATAATTGCTAAAAGAGAAAAATATGCATAAGTTCACTGAAAATTACTACCTATTTGTTTTTCTCAAAATTGTGTGGTTTTCTATAGCACTTTTCTAAAGATTTTGAAGTATAAAATAATGTTGATAGAAATTCAAACAACAACTAAATTAATAAAAATATCAAGATGGAACACTTAAATATGTATCATTGGAAAGTTATTATTAAAATATTCCATAATAAGAAATTAACTGAACCTAAAAACCAAATGATAGCGAGATCAGAAAATTAAGAAAATGGTTGTGAACTTGAAACATATACAAATGGAAAGAGCTCCAAATAAATAAAACGATTTGGTTATTATGGGCTTAAGGAGGTAAAATTTTATCAACATCTTTATCTTGAGAACTAAAATCTTATTGCCAGATATTGTATAGGCCTACCTCGAAGTGAAGTAGGTGGAATTGATTGTGTTATAAAACATTCAATATTACCTACTTAATACAATATTTTATGTACGGCATAAGCCGGTAAACGAACAAACGAATCACCTGATGGTAAGAAATCGGCGCTGCTCATGGACACTTGAAACCAAGGCGTTACAAGTGCGTTACCGGCCTTTTAGGAATTGGGAATTTGAGGATTGTGGAGGATTCGAGGATTGGGGATACTGGCGAGGGGGGTAATTGGGCTTCCGGTAACCTCACTCACATGACGAAACATAACGCAAGCGTGTGTTTCACGTCGGTTTTCTGTGAGGCCATGGTGTCACTCCAGTCGAGCCGGCCCATTCGTGCCGAAGCATGGCTCTCCCACACTTAAACTGTCAAACACCAAGCGGTCACCGGTGACCGCAACCTATTGTTCTTTAATTGTGTCTATAAATACGGTACTCGATGAGTTAATTGTCATTGGTTGTGAGAATAATCTTGACCAATGACGGATGAGAATGCGATCCAGCTTACTTCGAGAGTTTGAATTAACATATTAAAGAATAGCGTAACTGTTCCATAATTTTACTATTATCCCGTCGTGCTTTTTACCAACAACCAGATGGTACAAATATTATAAAGGATATATAACTATTCCTATTGAGATTCTTCAACCATTAGAATATTTAATTAACGTCGATCCAGAACACTATAAGTAACAATATTTACTTGAAGAATATCAACTATTTGCCTTTTTGAAAATATTTGAGATGACGTATAAAGAGATTATTATTCTGGTGCCTTTAATATGGGTATTTTATATTAGTGCTATAGATGTTGTAAACTCAATAGTATTTTTATTACCTCCTTCGATAACAAACTTTATTGCACAATGAATGTTTTCAGAATTTTGTTTGTCACTGCCTGCGTTACATGCTAAAACTAACTCCTCAATTGTTTCGTCTGTTATCTTCTATTTTTACTTCGTAATGATGATTTGAGTATTTTTTTTAACATATCGTCAACTTGTATCGTTAGTTTTAGTTCTGTTGATCTCAGTTGTCAGGATTTTCATTTCCGTATTTTATATTTTTTTGCGAGTCTTCTCATTCCTTTCAAAATTATTTTTAGTTATCTATCTATTTCAAATATCTTTATTTCCAATATCGCATAATTTTGGAGCAAAGTATGAAAGTAAACCCCCTGAGCACTATTTTGCATGTTTTATGATTGCATGGTTGGCGAGGTGAACTGGCTGCCACACAACGTGTCGCGGGTTCGATTGCCGCACGGAACAATCCTTTCAATCCTTTGTGTGATCCACAGATTGTTGTTCCGGGTCTGGGTGTCATGTGTATGTGAACTTGTATGTTTGTAAATGCACCCACGATACAGGAGAAAATCCTAATGTGGGGCAATGAAAATCCTAATGGTTAAAAAAAAATAAACTCTACATTATTTGGAAGGTCAGATACAAAAGTATTATCAGACATTATTCTCATGGGATTAACAGGAGCTAATGGTTTTTTAAAACATAAACATGTCAAATATTCGGCGACAATAAATTTTTGCTTCATCATTATTCACACTATCTAAGAAAAAGTTACTATCTACGAAGAGAGCAAAGAGCGTTAGTTATCGAATAATATCGATCATGTTTTAACGTCGTGCCCCCTAAGATTAGATACTGTCCTCACAATCGGACATTTATTGCACATTACGATAAAATTTACCAACGATCGACTCCAACGAAGCGATATCAATTTTACAACTGTAACAATAGGATATGATAAGTCCTATAATACTATCAAAATGTTAATCCATTGTAAAACAGCTGTGGTCAGTGATAATAAGGCATACCTTTTGCTGGTTTAGGTACCTATATTTAATTGTACATTAGTGCTTCCTGTCATTTGTGGGTGGGTAACAGCTTCGATTAATGAGTCTGAAGTAGGTAGTCTATTAAACAAAGACGCAAATGCAACATAAAGACGTTTAATAAATGAAATCTATCACTATCGCTAAACCTAAAATGAAGTCCTAATAAAGGTGTTTATCGTGTCACGGTCACTAGACAAGCTTCTTAAAAGGGATGTATTTGTTCAACAGTAGACGTATTCCGATCTAACTGACGATGATATTGTCCAATATTTTGACTCGCATTTTATTTTTGTGCAGAAATGTTTAATCTTTGGGTATATCCGCACCAGCTAAGCTATAGCAAATAAAGATTTGAAAATATCTTTATTTGCAAAAGGTTTAATAAAATGGGTGTGCCTAAGCTGACGACAGCTGAAATATTTAGGCAATATCATAAAAAGGGACTGAATTGGATCGTCACCATACATAATAAAAATAATTCTGCATAATGTAATGACTTTCAACAAAATGGACGCAATTAAACATACACCTAGTACTTACGCGCTTAATAAACTGATAAATAATGATGATTTTGGAAAATTTTGTCCTCACGCAATCATATCAAGAAATTGCTAATTATACCAAGGATGATATACATACTTTTAGTTATAATTTGCTGTCTTATTTTTATCAGTAGTCGTGCCTATAGTGCATTTTTTAGCTTAAGAATGTAATAAAAAAAAAAATAAGTTATCAAGAAATAAATATCCCACCAAAAACATTCTGTAAAAAACTAGCCAAGTCTCGATGGAGCTGCTTAGTTTATCTCTTAAAAGTAATGAAATATAATAAAGTCGTGCCAAGTCTAAAGTTCCTTATTGCGATTTTGGTATTATATAGTTAATGTTGTGTGACTTTGCCGTTGAAGGGGAAAAACAGGGTGTGGTAAAAATTATCAGTCGACGTTGCAAATAGAACGCAATGCATTTATTCAAACATTGCTTCACATGTGTACATTCATCTACTTTTCAATACTTACGTTTAAGGTGTCTTGTAATAATGGAGATTTGAATCTATTGCTGAGAATTGAATTTGAATTCCACAGCTTCTTCAACGTTTTTTTCTATCACATAGACACTTTATACATTTGTGTTAATTCTGTATTTTTCTTTCTTTACAGTCGAACTCAAACATCAAATAACAATCACAGAGCCGAAACTGTTCATAACAATACCAGAATGCCACGACATCGTTTCAAAGTCTTTGAAGGCAGCTAACATACAAGCAAAAATAGTTATTGTTGACAATCCTAGCAAACCAGTTCCTGATGGTGTTGTAAGATATTCAGAAGTAGCAGAATCGGGTGAAGCTGATTTTGGGCTTTTAGACAAGGTGGAAAGGAAAGGAGATGATGTGGCTTGTATTCCATTCTCTAGTGGAACTACTGGATTACCCAAAGGAGTGGAGATAACCTTTGACAATATACTAGCTGGAATGGAAGTTATGCATCAAAAAGAAAACTGCTTTCCTCACGTAGCAAATAGTAAGTTTTACAATTATTTTATGCCTTTAATGTAGTTTTATCTTCAGTACGGATTATATTTCTTGGTTTATTTTAGAGCTGGTAAATTAGTTTGGCAATTTATTGTTGATACTGGGTTTTTCGTAAATTGAGCTTATCTGATTGAGGTTTGATTGCATTTAGTGCTAGTTTAAAAGAGTTTTTATTAATATTTTTACTTTTTATTGTCTTCAGATTTTTCATATTGATATCTTTGTTTAATGTTATTATCTATTCGGTACCCACATAAATTGTTTTAATTGTAATTTGTCTAATAATAATTACCAAATTAACTAAAAATAGCGAGTTACTCACGTGAATATACTAAGAAAAGATCTATTAGTTAGCGCACTCTGCTCATGAGAAAGAGCCCCTCTGTGGCTCGTACCTAGTAGAGCTTTTCTCAGTATATTCACGTGTGTAACCCGCGATTTTTAGTAAATTTATTATGTCTCATAATAGTTACTATAAAAATAATAATTACCGTCTAAAAAAATAGCACAATGGACATATCAATATCTTACCGAGACATCTCTCTCAGGGATTCGCATTATTATGACTGCTTCAGAGGGAATTTTTTATTTGGATCAAAATACCTTTTCTGTAGTTATCGAATACTAAAATCACACCTTTTAAACCAAGAGACGTAGACGTAGCATCAATAAGGAAATATAAGTGATTTTGACTACACCAGTATACACCGGGAACAATCTTAGGTCTAAAACTAGAAATACTTTTACCGAATTCCGAACCCGTGTCATCATCATCGAGTTATTCCATAACCATATTTATTTCAATTTCCAGGTGATTTCCAAGATATTCTTCCTGCATTCCTGCCATTCTTCCACATTTATGGACTAGTGATTGGTCTTATGGGCCATCTGTCCAAGGGCTGCAAACTGGTCACTATGGCCAAATTCTCCGCTAGCATGTATTTGGACATTTTGAAGACTCAACAAACAACGCTGCTTTATATCGTTCCTCCTGTTGGTAAGTAAAATGATTGACATATGCTTTAGCAACATAAATAAGGTTTCCACATTCGAAAAATGTCGGTTAGTTCGCAATCACTATGAGTGACTACTATATTTGCACGCCATTGTATACGGCAAACATGTCTCGAACTTTTTTCACTGCTACCCGCTATCTTGCATGCTATTGTTTATTGTATGTACACATGTGTTTGAGCAAATAAACATGATTTGATTTGATTTGATTTGATAACATTGCCTCATTGGCCGAGTGGTCGCAAGTGCAACTGCTGGGCAAGGAGTTCGATTCCCGGGTCGGGCAAAGTATTACTGGGTTTTAAAAAAATCTCAGTAGTAGCACGGAGTCTGGAAATGTGCCCGGTATATGGCAATAGGCTCACCCCCTATTACATGGGACTCATAACATAAATAGTGAAAAGTAGGTGTTACATTGTACAGTGGCATAATGTGCACCCCTGCCTACCCCTTCGAGGATAAAAGGCGTGATGTTATGTTATGTTATAAATAACACAAACTCCTTTATTGCTGGATCTTTTTTGTGGATTATGAATTTCTTTTACATTCGTGATTACCCACATTTGGCAGACGGATTGGGGTTTTTACACGTTACAGTTTAGAAGGTACAGCGTGTATACAGTGCTACTGCCCGGTCCCTGTCTCTTAGCAGCTCTTTAGTCGTGAGTCTTTCATGATGTTTTACAATATTTCAAATTTATTGATTCGCCATCTTAACTTTCTTTACAGCGATACTCCTGGGCAAACACCCAGATGTGAATGAAACACACTATCGTTCCGTCCGACATATCATTTGCGGTGCTGCACCGCTAGCTGGATCTGATGTTGAAGCTATTTTACAGAAGAGTAAAGTGAGTATTTTACGTGATTCGTTTAATCATAACTCTTAATTACATTCTACATTTAATTTTCTAATTTATTAAAATCAGGTCTAATTCAATTCGACAGTAAACCATTAAATACATGGAAGAAATAGAATGTCTAAATATAAACGTCGCCCCATCAAATATAAAAAAAAGTATCACACCTGTGTACGTGTAAATTCATATGGACCGTGAGCAAGGATACCCACATTAAATAATGAACACATTTGATTTGACAATACTTAGCCTAAAACTCTTTATCCCACACCAAGCATCTTATGCAGCTCTATGTATACTACCTCTAATATTGTTAGTAATATAAAAAAATCTCAGTAGTAACACGGAGTCTGGAAACGTGCCCCGTATATGGCAATAGGCTAACCCCCTATTACATGGGACTCAACATAAATAGTGAAAGGTGGATGTTACATTGTACAGTGACATTAAATGCCGTAATGAGCACCTCTGCCTACCCCTTCGGGGATAAAAGGCGTGATGTCATGTTTTGTTACTTTCACTATTGACATTTGAGCTATTGTTCTGTAATCCTCTCTTTAGTGCATTGACCCATTGTCCTTTCTATTCTCGCATTGTTTATCTATCTTATCTTTTACCCTTAAACCATTGTATTGTTGTCGATATCGTGCCGTTCAAGTCACTTAATTCTACTTAATTCAATTATTAGTTATATAAATTATTTTTGGACAAAACCAGGCTTGTATCGACATTTGTCAATGACTTTTACGCTATCTTGTAGACTGTTGACGTTGACTAGACTTTGATCTTTAGATTTACAGTGCATTCTAAGTTATAAATATTAATTTAATCAATCAGTCTTACTTTTTGATAACTTCTGTGCATAGAAATGTTCTCAGTTCAAAATAGTCATGTTCAACCTTTGTCCTCATTGATGATTGGATAGAGGAACCAATGTTTTAAATACCAATGTACGTTGTTGTCCTAGTTATTTAAATCACGATCCATTAACTTTAACTAAGGAGACGTGCCTACTACCGTAATGAGATAGGGCAAATGAATTCGACCTTGTCCTAAGGGCCGTGATTTGTCGTATTACAAAATACTAAATAAAAATTGTAACTGGTTTCCTCTATGATATGTTAGAATCCATATGAATTACTGAACAATAAATGTTTAAATGAACTAATATAGACAGAGTCTTTCCCATCGTGGTAGACCACATTATTTACATTCATGTTGTTCAATTGTAAGGAATGGTGCGGTTATTTATTTATGGGAGTTATGGGATATTTATCAGGTCTAACCAGTTTTTCCTGTTAATTCTTGGCTTTGAACTTTATATCCATGTTTGTCTGATCAGACAACTATCTTTTTGACAATGGCAATGATACAAAAGAGTGCAATCTATAGACTTGCAAAGGTTGTAAAATCTTGGAATACTGCACATTTTCTTATCTACTCTTGTCCTTTTCCTTGTCTCCTATAAACATTATTGACTTACATCTTTGGAATTCTAGCGACCAATTGAATTCAACCAAGGCTTCGGTATGACGGAGACCACGTCGTTGGGTACATCGACCTTTAAGGGCACTAAGAATGTGGACTTCAACGCATGTGGTGTCCCCATGGCGAGCGTACAGCTCATGTTCGCTGATCCTATTACTGGAAAACCGGTTCCTGTTGGACAAGTAAGTATCAGAAACACAATTATGCATAGATTGTTATTGAAACTATCTGTAACAATTGCATCGCACAAACGTTGTATCCTTTTTTAAGACTAGGTATGAATTTTATATTAATACTAGCGGATCCGACAGAAGTTGTCCTGCATATAATATAATAATAGGTATAGATAAATAACCTAGATACCGGCGGCAGCGCCATCTGCCGGGCTGATTTGTGAATCTAAACCATCCAGGGTACCACTAAAACGCATACAGAAAAAAACATTTAAATGTGGTCAAGCCGTTTAGGAGGAGTTCAATGGCATACACACGTACACCAGAATTATATATATAAAGATTGTCACCACGAAATCTCACAATATTGCTCTTATCGGCATTTTAAGGGATAAAGATTACTTTTGCTGTTTATATCATTTACTTAGAACAAAATATTGCTGTTTTTTGTTAATGTTTCTCTTTCAATTTTAGTCTGGAGAAATGTACATCAAGAGTCCTACAGTGATGAAGGGATATCACAAAAACCCTAAAGCAACAGAAGAAACGATGACCAAGGACGGTTTCTTCAAGACTGGAGACATGGGGTACTTCAAACCTGGCGCCGGATTATTTATTACTGATAGGATAAAGGAATTGATTAAGGTAAGGCAAGAAATAATAATATTACAAATTCTGTGTTATCTTGACTTTATCCGGTCTCAATTTATTACGTTAAGAATAATAAATTGAAGCCGATAGCAAATAATATCTATAATAGTTAATAATATATTATTGCCATCAGTCAGGCATATACGTGACGCTATATAAAATCCCGAAATTGAAAATCACTTGCACACCGATTGTCACTGACTATTATCTCAGTAAACTGAGAACAATAACACAGTCATGAAGTAATGAGCTCACAACAATCCCTTCAATTTCCAGGTCAAAGGCATGCAAGTAGCACCAGCTGAACTAGAAAGTCTATTACGGACACACCCAGCAGTGCAAGACGCAGCTGTTATCGGCGTACCTCATGAATTCTACGGAGAAGCACCAAAAGCTTTCATCATTAGAAAGAATGGTCTAAAGATCACAGAAGAAGAGCTACAAGATTTTGTGGCGAGTAAAGTAGCAGTGTACAAAAAGATTGAAGAAGTCATGTTTGTTGACGAAATCCCTAAAACGGCGTCTGGTAAGATCTTGAGGAAAGAATTGAAGAAGATGTACGCGTAGTAGTGGAAGACATTGCTAGCTTAGATGCTTCTAGATTGAGGCTCGAACCAGATCTAAAATCACTTTATAGATAAGACAAAGAACATGGTTGTCTTGTTAAAAATGAGCTGATTAGTAAGAAATGGTTTAGCCTCTTGTCTGTAGATATGTGAGACACAATAGAAAACATATTGTGTCCCGCGTATATCTGCGTTCCGATAGACAAGAGGTTAAACCGAAGGGTAAATAAAGATTGTCAGAAAATAAATCTGTTTACTGAGAAAAATTTAGGACTTGCGGGATTTCTTTTATACGAAAAACAAATCACAAGCAAGTAAAAGAATTTTGTCAAGAAAGTTAAAGAGATTGTAGATTTTGGCCTAATCCACCAGTAGAAAAGTTAGCAATACCTCAAGTGCCTTATCGTATGTGTTAGAGAATGGGGCGTTTTCTGGTTACTATGTAATTGTTCAGTAATTTTTGTATAGGTACAAGTTAGGTTGAGGTTATTCAAATATCGGCCATATTCGATTGTAAATAAATACCAATGTTCTTTATTTAAATCATTGTTATAGTAACAGTGGTTGCTTAGCAAAAGTGACTTCTATTGTCTTTATCGTTATGATCGGTATTTGAATAATCTTTTGTTGTAAATACTTTTATTATGATGAAGTTTGGATGCTAGGAGTTTATTAATATTATTTGTTGGTTAGGTAATGGAGTGCCTTTGAATTTTTATCAATTGAACTTTGTATGGTGCTAATTCTGTTAAACGTCTCTTGACTATTACTGTGTGAGATACAAGATCTACGTCCAATACCAAAGTTTAAGTCAAATTTAAGACCGCAGAAAGTGAGAACCGTTCCTATTCCTCTCTTCCAATGATTGTCTTCTGATTGATGGGATGGCTGAATGGGAGAATCATGCATTGGCAAAAACGGGCTGGCTCGACTGATACAGTGGTCTCCCAAAAAACCAACCGGCCTCACCTCCCCTTAAAAGCCGTCAATTACCTAATTGTAACTTCTGTCGATTTACGAGTGTTCCTCTGCGGTACATTACTTAATATCAGGTAATTCGTCTGCGTATTTTCCCAAATCGCTTGCGGGACAGTTGTTATGTCCCTGAGACGTATAGGATTTTATTGACTCTGTTTTTTGTTTATTGGTCGATTACTTCAATTCTGTATGTGGTGTGATGAGCCCTTTAAATTCTTTTTATTCACTTGTGTTCATCATTTGAATGTTACGATAGATTTAAATATGTTCTTACACCAGAATTTGCATCATTAAGTTCTCTGTTCACTATCACATTGTTATCGCATTTACTTTGTTAAAGTTTTGGAGGATTTAGTTTATACAGAATAATTATAATGAGCGGTGATTTACTTTGGGAGATAAACCTCGAATAACGAAAGGTTGATATTAAAGCAATTTTCTGGATTTTGGATTATCTGGTTACCATTTATTAGGTTGAATAAAATTGTGTATGTTTTTGAAAAATCGTAGGGATTTTTTGATTAGAACCCTTCTAGAACCTTCTAGAACTATGATTTTTGAAGAAATATTTATATAGATTTGAAAGAAAAAGTTTCGCTATGTAATCAAATCCAGATTTTTTTTTATTTTTTTTTGTTATATTGATCTCTTTATGAAAAAGATGGAGCCAAAATATGTCTGCGTATCATAAAAAAAGACCTTTTACCTGTTTATTAAGTCCATGAAAATGTTATTTACATTTTTGTCAAAAATATTTACGTACACAATTACAAACATGCGCCATGTAAATGTGTGCATAAACTATACCTAATTAAGAAATCGTTTTTATATTTTAGCTTATAAGGAATAAACTAATTTTATATAACAAATGTGATTTCATTTTTTAATCGATTTAATTTCAGGATTCTGTTTTCATAAACAGCAGGTGGCGCTAGTGAGTTTTAAGATCCCCTAATAGTTAAGCGTTAATTATTTGATACATCGTACCTAAAATGCCCAAAATTTGTTCATGCAAAAGTAATATCTAAATATCGGAAATAAGGTCTATAATGAAGTCAGTGGATAGCGATCACCAATCACCAGTAACCGCTTGGGGTTTGAGGGCCAACGAGCATTGTGCAAGGGTGGTGATTAATGCTCAAACATTCTCCGTTTTAGAAGAGGCTTCGCTGAGCAGTGGGCATTTATAGGCTATTGATGAACAATAATATCTATGATGACCTATAACTTAAAAATAAATTAATATTATTATAATATTTAAGATTAACTAACATTAATAGTCAATGTTACAGGTATTTTATTTACATAGATATTATAATTATCACTGCCAAAGAGGTATCGTACAGCCTTGTTATTGACTCGAATAAATTTACGATAAAATAACCGGAGGTTCAATCTTTGTTTACGTTATTAAAATAATTTTATTAGTACACTGATCTCTAATAGTTACGTCATAGAGATTAAATTACTTTAGGCAGTATTTGGAGTGATAAAACTTTGTAAACAACTTCACCGGTGTTTATGATAACAATATTTATGTTTCTCTGTGGAGATAGGTCGATTTTAGACTTTAATACAAGGAATTAAGACACAATTGTTACAATTCTGGATCATTTTTGCTTTAATTACTAAGTGCTTTGAAGTTAATTTTTTCTTCTAGACAATTTATAGCTCGCTTTAACGTTTTTATTATTCCTTTCTCCACTGTGTTAGCTAACAAGCTAGCGTTAATTTTGTTATAAGTAGTGCCATCTAGCATTGCTTAGTAAAAACTGTTTCTTGTTATATTCTGGAAACGAATACTAGATGTCACTAGTATAACTATGAATAAAAGTGTATTATTTACAATGATGTAAGCAAAATATTTGTCGTGTGATGTAGTACATTTAATGAGATATTATCTATCTATCTATATTGTACGTTTATGTGCCAACTGCTTTTCTTTACATCGTTTGAGTTTTTTCTAGTGTTATAGTCGCTCTAAAATACTTTTCTACACTAGACACTAATCGTGAAAGTGGCAAAGGACAACGGCTAGAGATGTTTTATACCTACTTATTATGAATATTTAAGTGTCTGTCTACTTACTTAATTATCTACTTTACGTAACGATTACTTTATTATGTAATACCTATCTATTATTTGTTTTAAACAAATTGTTTAACGAAGTAGATGCCTACCAAAACCGACGTTCTTTTCCATCCATTCCATTATTTTTGTTAAATATCTTAATTAAGATACCTAAGCGATAAAATAATTTCCATTATTTTATGAATACAACCTTGTTAGTGGCGCGCTGGTGGGGCAATGGCAGTGGTAACATAGCTGACTTCACACACGTACGCATGCGTCTCAAATGCGGCCAACCTCGTGTGTAAACTAAAACTGAGTATAGAGTATAGGAGACGTCGCGGAGAATCTAACGGGTAACCGGGGCTCCGGCTCGACGTGCAGGAGAAGGAACGGGGTGGTTTTTAGTCAGTAAGAGTATGACACTCCCTTCCGCCTCACCCAGGCGGGAGCAGTCATGCGATGATTTTCCCCCCTTAAAAAAAAAGAGTATAGGAGACACTGCAACGTTTTCCAAATAACGACACGGTGTCAAACGGATCTTGATCGTGTAACAAGTGTTATAGTAGTTATAGTAGTATGTATTTACAGTTATGCATAATCATAAATTTATTTATATAGATTTTTCTGTGTTGCATAAATTGGACCATTATACCTATTACACCTACTGTTGCACATCTCTGCATCAGCCCATGGTAGACTGTTAGAGAATGCCACCCGGCATTAAGTCCGCCATCGTATGTTTATTATAAGGTGAGGGCTATAGGGCCTCCGGTAACCTCACTCACACGACGAAACACAACGTAAGCGTTGCTTCACGTCGGTTTTCGGTATATTATTTTGTTCATGTCTCTTTCTTGTGTGCCCTTTTCCGAGTTATGTGTACTTTCTAAGATTATCTAAGCAGTGGGCATTTATAGGCTGTAGATGACGTTCATGTCTTTTGAATTACGTCTGAATTGATGTTTTTCTTTATTTCTTTAATAAAATTAATTAAAGCTTGTTCAGACAAGCAGGCTTAATTCTTTAACACAGATGTCCGTGTCCAACAACAAGGTCTAAATTAACGAACTGTAAAAATATTAATTGTTAACATTTTTAACAAATGGTCTGTCCATGTTTGATTTAAGTGTGATATTTTTCCCAATTTACCACAAGGAATCGTGGCCTGAATAAGTGAGTACACTTAATACGTCAAATGTGTATTTTTAGATGATGCTGAGATAAAGGCAATTTGGTGATGTTTTCGATCTTAATCCTGCTTCGTCATGCTGATTTTATGCTGCATACGTATTTGGGGAATAAAATGCATGTAGCATGAAGTTTATGTTTTGTCCACTTTATCTAGACCAAGATTTGTATCTATAAATCTAGACGATAAAAGAACAGTGTATATTCAACAGTGGATGTCTTGCAGCTGATTTGATGATGATGAATCTTACGATTACAACTACAGTACAAAACATAAAAACTATAAAAAAGCAATGTTTTTATGAACAGGAACACCCATTTTTTTCAGCTGTTTCCACTGGTCAAGTTCTAAGCCACGGTATATATTACCGTGTCCAAGTGGTCACTGGTTACGGAGCCGCGGAGAACCTAACGGGTTGCCGGGGCTCCGGCTCGAAGTGCAGGAGTAGGAACGGGCTGGTTTTTAGTCAGTAAGAGTCTGACACTCACTCCCGCCTCACCCAGGCGGGAGAAGTTATACGATGATTTCCCCCCTTAAGAAAAAACAGCTGTCACCGGTGACCGCTCTCCACTCACACCATTATATACCTTATACCCGATGTTTAGAGACTAAATTTATATGAACAAATGTTGTGGATTTTTCATAATTCGACATTACCAAGTTAACGTAGTGTATTTGTATGTCAAATTATATACTAACATGAAAGTAAACGTTTCCATCGTCAGTCGATAATAGTTCACACCTTAATCAACATCATAAAA